AATTACAGGCCTCTCTCATCTTTTTAAGTGGGAGAACTTGCATAATTGGTGGCTGACTAAAAACTTTTTGGCCCCACTGTACCTGTCCAGAAGTAACTCTGCTGGCAGATCACAGGCATGGAGAACCAGCACGGTGTGAAGCCAAAGGAAGCTTTCTGGATACCCCAGGCCTGTACGTCCCTTCTACATGTCCGTGACCTGTCAATCACCTGCTTCTGAACATGGGCCTATCACCTTTCTGAAAAAGAACTAACCCTGTGTTCAAGATAGCTTGCCTGAGAGTTATGGATGCAAAAGAAGGGAAGAGGTTGAAGCAGACTGAGCAATGGACCACAAGCAAGCTTGGTCTTCATCTGCTGCTGCAGGGGAATGGGGATGCTGGCAGGCATGACCAAGGAGCCCAAATTTGATCTTATGACCAGCAGCAACTGGAAGTAGCCAGTGGACAGCCATTGAGGACATGCAATTATGATTGGCATCTTTATACATATGGGCGGGGGGGAGCCAAGGCATCAACCCAGCCACACGTTTTTCTGAGCTCCTTTCAACATCATGTTACTTTATAATAGTATATTTTAGTTACCTTTGTTTCTTTTTAGCTAATTTTAGTTAAAGTAAGAATACTAGGTTACAGTAGGCTTATTAGATTTTTATTAGACTTGTTAGATCTTCTTAAATTCAGTCATGACTACTTTGGGCAAGACGAATGTGGAGGCAAAAGGCGGAGACCAAAGATTCTGAGTGGATTTGAACAACGTGGGAAAAAGAAAGAAACATCATGGGATCGGTCCCGGGTCCTTTTCTTCCTCAAAGTCTGCTAAACAACCAAGGATAGAAGAAAGTTTTCTATGAAAGGAACCTGTCAGTAAAACAAATTTCCCACCCGCCTTTAACAAATTTGCAGCCCTTGAATCACCTGAATGGGACCTTCAAACAGAACTGCTAGATCTTTCACTATCTGTCAGGGAAGAGCTAAATGAGAATCTGGGTTTTCTCCCGGTCTCTCACTGTGTCTCCAGTACTTGCTATTTCACCTGCTAACCTCAAGGGAAATAAAAATAAGTTTAAAAATAAGATACAAAATCAGAATACGGACAGGCCCCCATGGGAAAATACAACTGAGTTTATGGCAAAGCAATGCCTTCTTACAGCACAAACTGTTATCTTGTTATTTGAGCAGTGTCAGCTATAAAATAAGACCTGGAATTGCTGAAGAAAGACTTTGAGGCTTTCGTTCAAAAATACGAAGCCGGACCTACCACTTCCATTAAGGCTCATGCAAAAGCTCTGGATGAGCCACATATTAATGACCTGCACTCT